TACCAATTCAATATAATAATAAGTGTACACCAATCTTTTTTTAATTTTATTAATTAAGTGTATGTTAAAGGTCAAGCAAATTTGCTGTCAAAAAGCTCATTTTTGTACACTTTTGGACAAACGTTCAAAAAAATTTAGCCTAAGTGTATGACAAAGGCTTTATGCATATATTCAGGGGTCCTTTCTGGACCCATCTGGGCTCTACCTTCCTTAACTAACCTTGCCACAACTTCCTTCTTTTGCCTAGTTCCACCACCTACAGACGAACCTTAACATCTCCAGTGATAAGTGACTCCAAGCCTGCTTGCGTCAGTCGAGTTGAGCCAAAGAGTCATTTACAACAGCAGGGTCTGATTCCTTATTGACAGTCAATATAACAGATAATGGTAAGACTAGGAATTTATCCCGCTTTATTTTTGTAAAATGAAATGGTCAAGTTTATTTTTTAGTCAAAAAAATAACCAGTACAAAAAGACCAGGTATTCTATTTTTTATAAAGTGACAATCAAAGGTAAAAAAGATATAACAGGTATAGCATGAAAAAACCAGACAAAGTCGGGTTAGCAGAAAAAACAGAAGCTACCTTTCCTAGGAACAAACCTGTTCCTTTTAAATACTAACTAATGCTTACCAATCCCGAATACATCATAACATCATATACAAAATCATGGCAATGCATTAACAAAATTATACAATAAATCACTATAATGCATCAAATTACGCAATCATATGATAAATCATGATCATGCATCAATAATTACTTACAATACACCCATAATCGATTCGGGACAAAATGCTGCTCCGATACTTTCGTATCGGGCAGCTAAAGACCCTAGCAGGTGGTTTCCCACTTGCATAACACAGGCCAGCTGTAATTGAAAAATGCAGGGTTCTGTGGGTTGGATGTGGATATAGCGCACTTTTTCAGAACTGTTGTTTGGCCGCCTTATCGCTGTTCACCTTATAACTGCTCATATTGAACATTCGCATCTGATATCTCAAAATAGGCAATTGATTAAATTCTATATGCTTATCTATTCCCTACTAGAATCCTGGTCACCCATATGAATGTCAACCTACAACTGCCTCACTGCCTTTACTCCCTTTTCAATCTGTTGACATTGAATTTTTTTAAAAAACAAGCATATCATGTGATTTTTGATACGTGAAAAATAAACACTATGTGACAATTAGGGTCATGCGAACTAATTAGATCCAAGATTTTGCAGAGTAACATCAATTTCGATTACTGTATAACCATACACTACGTGATTTCATCACTTCATTCCTAATTATAGCTCATTTTAACCCTAACTTATACTCAAACCCAAACATAAAGTTAATTGTTTGTTCAAAGACTATTGTATTGATAATCTTCCCCAGTATTGCCACCAAAAATTTACGGACACGTGACCGTATTTGCTACAAACCAAAAAATCTTTAAATTCGTTTAGGTTAGGGTTAGGGTATATGCTAAGGTTAGGGTTGGATAAGTTTTAATAGTAAAATCGCTCAAGGAAAACTTTTTATTAATGCACTAAAGATTGTTTCCTATGCAGGTTTTGAGTTATAAGCGATTTTTGAGCGATTTTTTACGAAGCGAACGTTTGTTTTGAATTTCCTGATCGTGTTATGTTACACCTGATCTTGAGATCTGATTGGTTTACAATCACGTGCCCGTAACTTTTCGTAACTTGATACCAGAAATCACGTGTTCGAAAAATCGATCATATGCTTCATCAAGCCCTAACCGATCCTGGAAGATCCTTTCAAGGACCGGTAAGGACTCGGTCCTTAAATCACATGAAACATAATACGTTTATATAGATGTAGATTCTGAATCGAAATGTTTAAAAATACAGAATTAAATTTATTGGAAGACTTATTCGGAAGACCCAATTCAGGATCTAAATGTATTATATTTCATGTGATTTAAGGATTTGAGTTCGGGATCTTGTGCAAAGGCTCGAAGTAATTTAACTATAGTTGTTCTTTACGTATTGTAAGTACCTTAAATAGTATAAAAAATTTTAGTGAATTGTGTATAATAATGGGTGACGCAACCACGTGATGCTAATTGTCACATGCTTTTACTTATAAAAAATCAAAATGATTTTTTATAAGTAATAGCATGTGGCAATTAGCATCACGTGGTTGCGTCACCCATATTAATTGTGTAACATGTATTAAAGTCGTAGGTCACTGCCGAAACAATGTGCCGCCTTGCAAGTTCATTCATAAATTTTTAATAACCATATATGTAAATATATATTTTTTTATCTGCGTTTAAAAATTACCGTGAAGGGAATATAAACATACAGGAATTCGGGAAGACCGGGAAAATCTTGTTTGAGCTATGTCATTAACCTTATTTATAATAGCACATATATATATCACAAATTGCAGTTATTGCAGTATTGTGTAAATGAAAAAATACTTCGATGCTGCCAAGAGGATATATAACTGTAAAATAAGAATAATGAATTGAATATCATGAATAATGATGCAGTAGGACCGTCCTAATGAATTTTTGAGGTATGACAAATTAGGGTTATGGGTACAGAAAAATCGAATGTATGAGTTCCATTGTATCGTAATAATAATTAGTTACGCAATTTTAACTCAATAACTGATAACGCAACTTTAATTAGTTACGCAATTTTAACTCAATAACGCAACTTTAATTCATAACGTAATTTTCATTTAAACTATAATAAATACAAGTTTCTTTATTAGCAAAATCTTTGGATGCGCTTAAGGATGTTACAAATCAAAATAAATTTATTGATATTAGCGACATTAACCTCTTTATTATTTGAATCTATAATAATGGTTCTTTATATAAATAATTAATGATAATTTATAATGGAAGAAATTATCAATCTTTCAAATCCAGCTTTATTGGTAATAGTAATTCATTTATTGAAAAGCAAGGCAAGACATTAAATAACATGACACAACGAAATCAGTCCGAAAAGTTTAATAGCTCGAATTTTAAATTATTTAACGTATATTTTATATATGTATGTAAAAATTGTGGCATAAATAAAATTTATAGCATATACATGAGTTACAGCATATAAAGTTACAATACATAAAATATTCTCGACATAAAATTTTACGATATATCGTGACTTAAAATAAAAAGGTATAACTTAGTTTATCCCAATGCTTTGAGTTCATTAGTCATGAACTTCTATTTTCTGTCGAAAGCCTTTGCGGATTAAAAAAGAGCCATATGATTTTGATCAACAAGTAACACGGCCGTTTTATTTTCTCAAAAAGTCTTTTTTGTTCCATTTAATTTTATTTATATTGTTCAAATGAAGAGCCAGAAAATAATACGTCGGGAAGTTGTACGTTTTGTAGAGGAACTGTTTGAGTTTCCGTGCGTTGTATTTCAGTGAAGGGGTTGGCACCATTGATTAAATGTTCGGCTATAGCATTAATAGGAAGATCTATATGTGCTGTAGTATTTTGGGATATTGAAGGCTGAGCGCCAGTAGTTTGATTTGTAAGATTATTATTCATTATGAAGTTTTATTTTTCAATATTTTCAGTGAAGAGATATTTGATGAGAGGTTTTATTGATAATTTAAGTCTTGGATGGGAATTTTAGTGATTTTTACAGACAAGTGTAAGAAAAAGAAAAATATATCTAATTTAACTATTACTGTACAATTGACACTTTTAAACATCTTAAATAAATTTTTATTTCGAATAATCCTACATCAATCAATACCTGCACACTGACGTTAACTGACCGTAACTGTCGTATATTCTTCTTTCAATTATTGATAATTTTGCCCTTTCATATGTAATAAACTGTTAAAGTCAACAGATACACCTGTTATCTTGACGGTAAACAGGTTTAAAAATATTGGCAGAACGAATGATAATTGAAGCCATTGTGATAATTCAAGTGTGAATCTTGTTTAAGAAAGGTAATATGATTGCTTAATTTAATGCTGTATATTATTATATTAAACGTCATTTTTATCAGGATCGCGGGGTAAGCACAGATATTAATATGGGGTAATTACGTAATTTATATATACTTAGTAAACAATACCTAAACTACCTTTAAAATTTTAGGTTTGTTACAATGAACGTACATACATACGTAAGCACCTATTAGAGATTTTAATCGGTCGGTTCCGGACCGGTATTTACAATTATTTTCATTATTTCCGAGGCAATTACAGCTGTCTTCATGACCGAATTGATAAGTTTCTTAGTTTGGCCGAAGTCGGTTACTTATTGATTCTGACTCGGCAACTTATCGATTCGGTCATCAACAATTTTTTCAGTTTTCCAGAATTTATGAAAATAGCAGTAAAAAAAATTATTGATAACCGAATCGAAAGTTTTTGATACCGGCCAATATCGGTAAATTATCAATTATGAGTCAGCAATTTTTTTTAATTGCCCCAAGAATTATGAAAATAGCTATAGACTGGACCAGATCAATCTAACTCTACCAAGCTAAAACGTAATTTCCAGTTGTAATACAGTATAGTATATATTGTTGTATTATAAAAATTAGGAAATAGCAAGGCGGGCACTCAATTCTGGGATCGCATGTATATTCTATTCAATTTTCCAATTAACTTTGTTTGTCGTTCCGGATAATAATTATCTTACTAAACAGAGTGTGTCCTCAAAAATGTTTATCGGGAATTCGGTGTTTAAAGAGGAAAAATCATTATTATATTTGTAGTATACCTTGAATGCATGATTTTTTTTCAACTCAAAAAATATTCATCTAAAAATAAATTTTTTGTAGAAACAAAATTTTAAACTAGCATTTTGAAATACGGAGTACTTTGAACAATAGCAATAACCATCTTATTATTATTATTATGTTGCAACAAAAATGAAAAAAATGAACAATGAGAAGCTGTTTGAATGGTTTTACTTATTACTCTGGTTTATTAGACGGTAAATATATATTTATTTTAAATTTATTCAATTATATTTTATAACGTCATGTCAAATTATTTATGGGGCATCCATAATTTACGTTAAACCGGTATTGTTATATAGATCTTAAATAATACAAAAATAATATTATATGGTATTGTCTTCAAGGTCTCTATTTCTATACAATGCAGTATTAGTTTAACGTAAATTATGGATACCTCTATTAGACTTGAAAATAAACTATATAACAAATGTACAGACTTAATTTCTTAATGTCACTTATCGATTGTGTACTGTAGTACGTCACAAATTTTCAGACTTTCACATGAAATTCGAGTTTTACAGATCTTCAGATAGCATCTTAAAGTAGGTTTATTGAGCAAAAATGAATACAGATAGCTTGCATTGTTGTTACTGATACGTACAATGTTACAGACAATGCGAACGTAACTATTTTCTTCATATACATATGATTGCGAATGTACTTACATACAGAACACGGGATTGTTCACATGTTTCAATATGTACTTCCACAGCTCTTCAGCTATTCATCCGTATCTTTTAATAAAATATTTTTTTGTCATAAATAAATAAACTAAATGCGCCATTCTTTTATTTGGTAAAATGAATACACAATGTTAATTTACCTAGATATTATGTCTCTAGATTAATCGATATTTGACTCATTAATCGAATTAGACTTTATGTATATGCAAATAGACAAGCAGACTATGTTTCATTAAATCCTAATTGATGAAAAAAAAATGCATAGTTACGTCTTTTATAATCTTTCTAATAACCAATGTCGGTTTGTAAATAGGTGATCTTGGTTTAGAACAGATAATGTTCATTATTTGGCAATACATCTGGATAATTTTTTTGCTATCTCTAGCATATATAGCTTTTAAAATAATATCTACTTATATAAATTTAAATTAATTAAATTTAAAATTTTAATTTACAATTTAATTTAACATCGGAAAAAATTTTTTAGTGCTGTTCTGCGCAGATTTGCAAAAAAAATTAAATAATATATTAAATGAAAATCTGTGCAAAACTTCAGACTCACCAGCTATAGCTATAGAAATTAAATACAGTTCTGCGCAAAATTTCAAAATATAGGAAATTTTGCAGTTTTTTTGCAAAAAATTCTGCAAAAATCTGCATCTTCGCAGGTTTTTGCAGATTTGCACTTATTTAATTCTCCCGATGAAATTAAACTAATCTATTTTAAGGCGTTCTCAAGTATCATCTTAGATGCAATTCTAGTGATCGAAAAACACAGGCAAGATTATACATGTTGGCAAAACTATAAATTCTTAAAATCCCACCAAAATCCCAAATATAATAAAATTGTCCCAAATCCCATCAAATCCCAATAGTTTTGCCAGCAAGTATAGGCAAGGTACATAGAAAAATCTGTTTTAATAATAATAATAATAATAATAACAATAATAATAATAATAATAATAATAATAACAATAATAATAATAATAATAAACCTTTTCTGAAAATTTCAAATTAATTATTTTCAAATAAAATTCCTTTTATTAAGTATGAGCAATATGTTTTATTTAAGTTATAAAAAATAATATTGAACCGAAACCGATTTTAATATTGAAACATTTGTAAAAGATGAGATAAAAAATTCAAACTTTGAGCGAAGATATCTCAGTAACCATTAAGTCAAATTCAATTAATATTCTTTTTTTATTTTGATTCTACAGATCTGTAGAATTAAAATATAAAAAATTCATCAAATTTGGTTGGGTGGTTGTTGAGATATCTTCGCTCAAAGTTTTATTCTGTGGCTGTTATTTTGATAGACGTTTAATATTATCAAAGCTTTGAAGATATCTCGACATACGCCTAGGAATAGATTGAGCAGTTGCTAAGATATCTTTAAATTTAAATTTTATGGGAGTATGTTGCATCATGAACGCCACCTCAATTTAGGGTGTAATTTAGACCTATCAAAAAGTAACTTTTATTTTCCTCAAAAATAAGTTGTTGCCTAATGATGTGAAATGGTCCGAATACAACTTAATTTCTTAACGTTGGCAAACCCAAGTTTATCCAATTAAGATATATTTATTAGAGCTTCGATCTTATTTTTTCAGGACTATCCGGATTGAATTGGGATTCTCTTTCATGAATCCGGTTATAATTCGAATTGAGTAAATTCGAATTTGATTTGAATTCAAACTGGAAAAATCATTGATCGACTGATCAAAATTGCGAATTTTGAAGCTGGTAGAAACAATTTTTTTTAATATACATATTTATATAATTTCATTTTATTATTATTACTAGATGTTAGACCCGTCATTAAACGACGGGTTAGATTTTAACATCTCTAATATCATACCCTGCAGGATAAAAGTGAGTAATCAGCGTTTCCAAAACTTCCTTACATCATAGGTGTAACTTGAGAATAATAATTACAAAGTAACATAGTGGTGGCAGAAAAATTCGCGATCAGATGATCGTGACCCAATTAATGATCAATAAACTGTCTAAATTGCATAAATTTTTGTAGGTTGATATTATATTCTGAGGTTAAGAACAATCAAAATCATCTGATCGTAAATTTTTTCTGCTATCACTATGTTACCTAATAATTACAGTAAACACAGTAAATAAAGCAAAATAATCATTCTAGCAGCTCTTTATGGTTAATGTTAGGATGAGAAAGT